GACTTCCCTGAGATGGTATCAACATACAGGGGAAGGTCTGTGTTGTGAGGTTTCATAGAAATTGTTAGCTTGAAAGTGTCAGAAGTGAGAGGCTGAAGTAATGAATGATTTCGGAATTGACTTGACCTGTGTTCCAGATCCAGCTCTTTTCCCTTTAAGGGCAGTAACCCAGTCTTCCTCATCTCTGTATCTCTAGGTGCCTGGCACAACATAAACATTTCCAGACAAAATAAATATTCATTTCATCATACTATATTTAATAAACAAATGAATTCACTGACTGAAGAACAGTGTTGGGAGTCATAGGTACAGGCATCAGCAATGCATGGAGAGTTTGAAGTTGTTTGGCTCTTTTCCCACATGGTAAAACTCAGTACATATCGAAAAATAGCTGGAATACGTTACGCATTTACTGTATGGTAGGTAATATGTAAATGGTTTGCACACATGAAATCATTTAACCCTTTAAACCACCCTGAGAGGAAGATATTCTTTTCACTGATTGTAAGATGAGGAGGCTGGAGCTAAGGTAGGTTAAGTAAGTTATCTAAGGACACACAGCAACAGGTAACAATTAAGTTAAACCTGGTTTGTCTTGCTGCAAAGCCCTCACCACTACACCACACTACCTCCTAATGATTGTCGGATACTGATTCCCCATGTGAACTGGGCCCCAGTGTTCTCCATCTCTAAGGAAAGGGTTGGTGGCTCTCAAACAGGGATAAGCACACAGCAGCACATGGAAAACTTGTTAGAAACAGCTACCCCAGACTGACAACCTCTGGAGTTGGGATCCAGGATTTCTCATTAAAGAAGAGAAATGAGTGCTGGCCAGTTGGCTCAGCTGGTTCGAATGCCGTGTTATAACACCAAGGTCAAGGATTCAGGTCCCTACACTGGACAGCCACCAAAACAAATAAACAAAAAATTATGGCCAGTTAGACTGGTTAGAGTGTGGTATTGATAAAAATAAATTTGATTTTGGTGATGAAAAGGGAGAATTTTAAAAAAAAATTATAGATGGAGGAAAAACCCAGCTTTCACTATAGACACTATGCAAGCCACGTAACCTAGGATACAGGTTTGCATTGGGCCTCTCAAGAAACCAAGACTACTTGCCAATCTCAGTAAATCCCAAATTTATGAAAAACTCCAGATATACCCCTGGAACGACCAGGTGTATGGGGGGTGGCTGAGCAGCCGCAAGAGCACAGATTCCTCCAGATGCCAGTGCAGGTGGCACCAGCTTCCTAAGCTGTCAGGCTAATAACCACAGAAAGTGGCAAGGCTATTTGCCAGAGTCCTGTGTTCTCTAAAAGTGAAGAACACTCAGTCCTTCTATTTGTCTCTACCCAGGAACCGAGCCAAGGTTGGGCAGCAGGACTGTGCAGAGCCAAGCGATGAAATGGGCACACTCCATTCCAGGATCCCAGAAGTCCTCGGCTGTCCTGAGACTGGTCTGGTAAGGAGGTCCCCTCACAGAAGAGGCATAGAAGAGGCAGCAAGAGGAAGAGAAAGTATGTGAGGAGCTTGAGGAGCCCAGCTCTTGTTTTGGCTGTGACTACCCATAGCCTCCTTCAGCTGAGGAACCACAGTAGATGAGTGGAAAGGGCGACAGTCTGTGGCTGTGCTCTACTTCTCTGGGCTGTAGCAAGACTATTTGATCTAGTCTGCAGGAAGTGGTTAGGAATCCTTGGAAAAAAGGAATAGTGCTGACTGTAAAATTATATCAATTTTATTAAAATGTTTCAGTAAGGGAAGGAGATATAGAAACTGTATGGTTTGGTTAGAGCACAACCTAACTCCAAGGTCACAGGTTTGGATGCCCTTACTGGGCATCCACCAAAAAAAAAAAAAAAAGAAAGAAAGAAACTGTATGGAGAGCCCTAGTATTTAACTTACAGTTGAAAAAAAAAAAACTGGCTTTTTAATGGACGTCTGAAGAGCTGAACTTAAGAGGGTAATATTAGACATCAGAGGAAATCTACAGATGATGGGGTGTTGCCTTCTGTGCAGCCTGCTTCAAGTTCATTCTCAAGTGGTTAGTGTAGTATCAGGCTGTGTTAGGCGATGGGAGATAGGATGGTGAAAGCCTGTGATCAGCTGACCAAGAGATAAACAGCTTGAGCTGTCACTCTTGAGTGTTCTCCCCTGGTGACAGGTATGCACTGCATTGCTGCAGAAACTAAGACATACTTCTTTATCCTTGGTAAATGAGTTTCATGACCTGTTACTGGAACTGCGAGGTACCCAAAACAATAGCTATGCAGCTAAAGGTGCTGGGTCATTTGCAGACCCAGAGCAGTGTCACACCAAGTTCAAATGCCTTCAGATGAACATCACAAGGACAGCAGAGGCCCCATGCCAAAGTCCTGTTCCCTCTATGAGAAAGTGAACAAGAGGACACTGAGGAGCCAACCCAAGATCCTGGACCCCCAGCCCCCAAGCCTCAGCTCAAACGTTAAGTGGTAGTAAACACTGTGTCCTGGAACATTTGCATAAAGGACTTGGTAAGGAAAGAGTCCTCTGCACCTTGGGAAACCTGGATTACAATCTGTCTCTACTACAGATTGAGCCACAAACCTGCTTCATCCTTCCTCCAAAATCTGTTCGTTTCTAGAAGAGGGGTGATGATCTGCTCTCCCTCTCACACAAAGACACCACTGAAGGGGTTTCCTTTCCCATCTGGGGTTGTATCTCTTCTTCCTGTGAGTTTTCCCTCTCAGACTTCCATTTATTTGAGCTTCATCCATTGACCCTGACAAGGATAGGAAAGCCCTAGTAGACACAGGTGGGAAATATAAATGGGAGAGAATTGTGAAAGCAGTATATATGGAAGGAGAAATCCCCATCCGGGAAGCAGAAGTCTTGCCAAATTGGCAGAAAACTCCTTAGAGAAGGATCCAGGTATCTGGGAAGAAGAGGCCCTTTCACTTGGGCACCCTCTGAAATTCTCTAAGGGTTAGGGCATTACAGACAACTCCACCCTCAATAGCAGGTCATTCCATTTTCATTTCTCTTTCCATTTCAGCAGATTAAAGTAGAAATCACAAGCTTGCAAAGTGGCTGAGATTAAATCTCAATTTTTTAAAAAAAATCCCAATTTTTGCCATTGCTTCACTGGTAAATACATTTCTCAATTATCCATTGTTCCTGAAAATGGCTGACTTCTAAATTAGTTACTGATTGTCTTATTAAAACAATTACTTGTGCATTATTCCAAAACCAAACATTTCATTCTCTCTTATTAACCTACAAGGTAATACTCTGCTTCTAACCATAAACTGAAGCCATCTCCATACCTAAATCTCCAATTAAAGGTTAATCCTTCCCCATGCTCAGGATTGTCCCATCCTACACTTTTGAGAGACCTTGGTCCAACTTTTATCCCCTCTCACATCTTGAACCTCTCCTACTGGATTCGTGCAGACAAGCATTAACATAGTAGGCATGAGACCATTTTTAGAAGGGTCTGCTTGCAAGGTTAGCCCCTTTGGTTGGACTCTGGGAAGCTGGGTTTCAAAAGTGTTCCCACCATTCCCTAACTGATAAGGGTGGTTTATTTTGGTACATGCTAGGGCAAACTGGGACTCAGATCTTGGGGGTTTGGGGGTTGGGCAGTGCTGCCCAACTGGTGCTGGTACCTGTGAGGGGTCCAATGAGGCTGGTTCTGGGAGATAAAGTATCTACTTTATTCATTGCTTTATATCTGGCTCCAGTACCTGGTATATTACAATCAGATATTCCCTGAATGAATGAATGAGTGAATTCTCCAGATCTTACCTGTCTCCTCCAGACCATCTGGAGTATTCATAGAACTATAAATGAGGCAAAGGTTGGGGGCTGTAGTACTTGGTGTTCCTTTTTCTGCCCAGCAGACTAGAAGTTAAAGCAGCTTGGAGGGCGGGGGGGTTGGGGGGGGCGGGACCTAAACATGCAAGGAGTTCAACAGCTATATCCCAGTTTCCCCAGCCACGGTAGGCCCAGGAAGGCAGGAACCTACTAGTGAGGCCACATTAAGTCTCTTCACTTCCTTTTCACTGGCTCTCCTCACCTACCAAACCAACTTATTTGAGCTGATATCCAAGTCCCTCAAGTAACTGATCCACCCCTGGGCTGTCTCTTTTTCCACCAGGAATCACCATGAAGTCAGGCTGTCGCAGAGGTCACATTCAAGCTCACCTCCTTGCCCTGCACCAGGCTCTTGGAAGATGTTTTCTTCTGTGTTGAACAAAGTCTCTTAAGTCTCTTAGTCTAGGAACTGTCCGACATAGCTTCTCCTTAGGGCCACACCCACAGACAGTGTATGCAGGGAAAAGTGGTGGCCCAGGCAGGGCTCGACCTGAGGACACAAGTATATTCCTCTGTCCTGCCTTTGCTTCCCCTTCTTCCCCCTAAATTTTAATTTCTTCTGGCTTTGATATGGAATGTACATTCTCCCTTGCTCATACTTAATTCTTCAAAAAGGCTCGAGCAGAGGCCATGACGCTTGTTTTCCCCATGGCTTAGACAAGTTGCTTTGGTACCTTGCATGCACAATCCAAGAACTGTAGACAATGTACCCATCTTTTTATGGATGGCGATTTTCACGGCTTTTAAGTATCTGTGACTTGTTCTAGATCAGTAAATTTTGGTTCCTAGTGCTCCTCACACCCACCTTCCTTTCACCTGCTATTCTCTCTGCAGTCACATCCTCCTGAACTACCTGTCGTTTCCTTACTCCTATCATCTCCCTTCTCAGCAATGGCTCAAATCTTCCCAATTCTTTTCCTCCTCCCCCCATTTCCAGCCCCTTATTCCTTCTGTGCATGTCCTACTGGCCTGAAGCAGATTCTAAACTTAGATCCTCTTCAGGGCCCTGTAGGCTTCTGCATGAGTACAGTTTCTAATGGAGAAAATTATAACCAAAGGCCAGGGAAGTGAAGGGAGAAACCTCTTTATTTTCATCAGAAATATTAATGTTTGAGGGCTGGCCAATTAGCTCTGTTGGTCAGAGTGTGGTGTTGATAACACTAAGGCTAAGGATTCAGAGCCTCGTACCAGCCAGTTGCCAAAGGAGATAGTAATGTTTGTGAACTTGTTTATAATAGTTTATAAACTATTATCAAAAAGAGTAATGTTTAGAAGCCATTTACTGTAAGAGACAATCAGGAACTGGGGGAGATGATGGTAAAATGAGAAATCTTACAAAGATCAACCTAGATTTTATGCTTACTCTAAGATTAAGTCACTTAGGGAAACAGATTCAATATTATCCAGTGGCTTGACCTTTCTTCCTTCCCTTTCTTCCCTTAAGGTGGTGTCTGGGTTACAAAGAGCACTGATCATCTGCCCTGAAGGTAGCAGCAGTACAAGTAGGTGTCTGGAAGTCAATTATTGGTTTAGAAGAGATCCATGCTCTTAACCTCTAAATGTGCTTCCCAAAAGGGGGAGAATTTATCAGCCCTATGTGAGGACTTTTGCCACACTCTGACCTTTCCCAGAAACATTTCTCAGATCACTGGCCACCCATTCTCAGTGTTGAGAACAGGGAGACCTTGGTTTTCTGGCAGGACTTATGGCCTCCCCATCAAAGCAAACTTTAAGTCACAGTGAGACAAGACTCTGGAGTCACAGGCACAGCTAGAAGGAGGTCAGTCTCAGGCTGATTACTGTTCCTGGACATGGTGGATAAGAACTGGTTGTCAATAAGCCTACTGCTAAGTCAGGGATTGGCTATACCTCTCCACAGCAGAAGCTCTACAAAACACATGCTGACCTAAGGAAGTGATCTGCAGGTCCTCCTACACACTTACAATACACCTCTCCCTTCCTGTGATGTGAGTACCTCTTTTATGTGCACTGCCTCATGGTGAGTGAAGGCAGAGTTCTTAATGAAGCTCTTTTCACACTGAGAGCACTTGTAAGGCTTTTCCCTAGTGTGGGTTTTCTGGTGGGCACTGAAATGGGAGCTATTGTTGAAGCTTTTCCCACACTCCACACACTTGTACAGGCTCACCCCAGTGTGGAGGCGCCGGTGAGCACTGAACTGGGAACTGTTGTTGAATCTCTTTCCACAGATGGTGCACTGATAAGGCTTCTCCCCCGTGTGTGTCCTCTGGTGCACAATGAGGCTGGAGCTCTGGTTAAAGCTTTTCCCACACTGCTCACACCGGTAGGGCCGCTCCCCTGTGTGAGTTCGCAGGTGGGCAGTGAGGTTGGAGCGCTCACTAAAGCCTTTCCCGCATTCACTGCACTTGTGAGGCTTCTCACCCGTGTGGATTCTCTGATGCCGAACAAGATAAGAACCTCGGCTAAAGCTTTTTCCACATTCGGGACATCGGGAAGCTTTTTCCAGTCCTGACACTGGCTTACTCTCCCAGCCATTTGTTAGCTCAGAGTGCCAAAAAGTTTCTGCACTAGACTTTCCCTGTAAAGCCTTGTTCATTTCTATTTCCTCTGAATCATCCCATTTCGGACTCTCTTTTTTAATCCCATTCTTGAACTGAAAACCTGAAAGAAAAAAAAAAGAAATATACTGGACTGTAGTGAAGGAAAACAATGGAATGAGGAAAGAGTTACAACTAAACAACTATAAAGAAGAAACACCTAATTGGAATTCCTCATGTGATTAAATCTTCTGCTAATTAAAAGCCTAAGTTTTATTTCCAAATATAGTATTTTTGAGCTCCAAATTTTGTGGTCACAGGTAGATTATACCCTAAACCCCACCAACTTTTCTCCTATTCTTTTTTTTGGATGTTCTGACACAATGACAAACTGAGACAAAAGGTCAAGCTCTATGTCACCTGTCTGTCTGCTTATAGGTGTATTCTGAATTCTTGAATGGCCTACTTCTGGGAGCAGAACAAAAGACCACCACCCTTTTGTTTGGCCAGCTGAAAGAGGAAGCAGGCAGGGTGCTGAGTACCTGGCTAGCACAGGCTTAGATTATGAAAGGAGAAGTCATGCTGGAGAAGGAGGTTGGAGTCTGGTCTGGAGGCCTAACTAGCAATCTCAGGAAGCAAGGCAGTGGAACTCCACGGGAAAAGATAACATGGACTCAGTGAAAGAGGTTGACAAGTAGAAAATCAGGGCTCTAAAATGCAAGGGGAATAATCCTTAAACACCATGAAAACTAAGACTGCAGGCCTGGAGAAGTCACACCAAGATGATGACAATACCAAGAGCAGTGACAGCTCCCTCTCAAGTGCTAGGCTAATTGCTTGTACGTGGACTTTCCCATCCTGTGACCATCAGAACCAAACAAACCTTACCAAGTCTGTTTGGGAACAGGACTGGCAGGTCACGTCTCTGGACTTCCTGGCCAGAATTCCTGAGATCCTTTTCATCCCGGCCTGCACCATCCACAGTGCCATCATCTACAACCTCTGTGGGCTCCCTGTTCTGCTGACTCAGCTCTCCAGCCTCTTGGCCAAGAACAGCATCACTTGCCATAGGACATGCAGAGGCCCAGGAGCTTGAAAGGGCATCCATTTCCTCATAAAAGATACAAGGTTCAGACACACAGCCTCTCCTCACTTTGTGATAACTCAACTGCAGGCTTTTGAACTTGGTGCGACATTGCTCTGGGGTCCGCAGGAAGCCCTGTTCCTGGAGTCGTTCCGCCACGACCCTGTAGATCTGGCTGCTCTGCTGACAGGCCTGGAGTCTTTCATAAAATTGAGATCTACTGAGAACAGCCAGGAGTGTCTTGGTCTCTTCATAGTCCCAGTGCACACCTGCTGTCAAGGGACAAAGAATACAGCAGTCGGATCAGAGAAGACTGTTTATACTGCAGTGCAGTTTTAAGCAGCCTAAGGCTCTGTTATTTCTGAGAAGATACCTCACTGTGGCCTTTTTTCCTAAAACATAAAAACTTTTAGTGTAGTAGAAAAGACATCCTCTCCAATTGAGAAGGACTTGTAGAGTCATCTACTAAAGCTTCCCTTTTTATTTTTCTTTATCCTGAATCTCACTTACATCCTCTGGAGAGGTGACTCACAATAAGGGTAGTGGCTTGCCTGTCTCCAGAGCTGTGGGGCTCCCTGAGGGTGGCCACATAAGAGGACATAGTAGGCAGGTGAGGCTTGGAGGGAAGCAGAGATTCATGGGAGAGAAGAGCTGGTGATAGAATACATCTGCCCGCTCCTCCTCTGACACTGCAGTACCTCCTCGGCTGGCCCATCACTATCTGTTGGCCACTCAAGAACACTCAGCACACATCCTGCAGCCTGTTGGCCCGGTTCATGAGGGCTAATATGTCTCAAGTTGCTCCAGCAAGTGCATTCTGACATCTGGTCATGCTGCTCTGAAGGCTACCAGCCTCTTCTCATCACCCTATCTATTCTACTCTGAGCCACTGTCCTGGGTCACTGCTGTGGCTGCCTACCTGGTCTCCTTGCTTCCACTTTGGATCTCCCACAGTCTATTTTCAACCAAGCAGAGTAAGCCCCCCTCCTTTTTTATTAACTATAATAAAACTTTTCTTTTTTTATTGGTTATGAATATTCACAGGATACAAAGCTGACTGTCACCACTTGTACCCCAAATGTGATGGCCAGATCAATATTATCAGCATACCCATTACCACCAATTCTAATAAAACTTACTGAGTGCCTATGACGCTAGTTTCAGAGAAAGGCAAATATAAATATGACATGGACCTGCCTTCCTGGAGGTCACTGTGAAAGTTTCTGTAGCAAAGAGAGAGACAAATGTTTACATAGAGCTCGGTGTCAAATAAATCGAAAAACTCAAAAGGATGGGTCCTTTGAAAATTCTTACTCCTCTGCCCAGAACACTGTAAGCCTTCCCTACTTCACTCAGAATAAAAGTCAAAGTCCTTCATGTAAGGCATCAAGGCCCTGTGTTCGTTGTTTCTCAAATTATCTATGAAGAACCCAGTTTTTGTGTTTGATTTGTAAAATACAATAAAAATGCAGTTAGACAGTTCAGCGACATTAAATTGCTACTAAGGTTGCTAACACTAGCTGTCATTTCAGCTGGCCTTGCTCTGGGCTGTGCTGCCCCATGTATCTGGCGCTGAGCTCCCCCTTGCTCTCCCCTGCAGCAGTCAGCCACCTCTGTGCCAGCCCCGCTCCCCACAACACTGTGCTAGCCTTTCCCTCCGCTTCCCATTCTCCTCCAGATAGGCATGTGGCTCATTCTTTCTCCTCCTGGAAGTTTCTCCAAATGTCATTTTCTCAGTGAGGACAACCCTGAGGCAACTACAAATGCAAGCCACCCCACAGCTCAGTGCTCCCATCACTCTGCTTTGCTCCCCCTGCCCCTTTCCTCCTTCCATATTGTGCCACTCAGTGATTCGTCATGCTGTTGTCTGTCTCTCCCCTCGGGGCAGGCATCTTTGTCTGTTTCTAACTGTTGTATCCCTAAGGATCCAGAACTATGAACGAGACATAGCAGGCACTAAATAAATATTTGTTGAAAGAATGACTTCTCCCACATTCTCTGACTCATTTCCATCCCTAATTTTAAAAGGTCCTAAGTTGTTTGCAGGAAACCAAAGTATGTAGGGAATACAAGCTCTCATTCAATAAGCCTAATACTGTGGAAATTAAAGTTATAGGTACTCTTAATGAAATATCCAGAATAGATCAATCCACAGAGACAGAATGAAGATTGGTGGTTGCCAGGGACTAGGGGGAGGGACGATGGGGAGAAATTACTTGAAGTGATTGGAAAAGTTTTGGAACTAGATAGACGTGGTAGTTACACAAAACTGTGAATGTGTCAGATGTCAATTTTTCACTTTAAAATGGTTAATTTTAAGGGCCGGCCCGTGGCTCACTTGGGAGAGTGCAGTGCTAATAACACCAAGGCCATGGGTTCGGATCCTATATAGGGATGGCCAGTTAGCTCACTGGCTGAGCATGGTACTGACAACACCAAGCCAAGGGTTAAGATCGCCTTACTGGTCATCTTTTACAAAAAAAAAAAAAGGTTAATTTTATGTCATGTGAATTTCACTTCAATAATTTTTTTTTAAAAATCCTAAGCACAAGGGCCGAGCCTGTGGCGCACTCGGGAGAGTGCGGCGCTGGGAGTGCAGTGACGCTCCCGCCGCGGGTTCGGATCCTATATAGGACTGGCTGGTGCGCTCACTGGCTGAGCGCAGTGTGGGCAACATCACACCAAGGGTTGTGATCCCCTTACCAGTCACGAAAAAGACAAAAAAAAAAAAAAATCCTAAGCACAAAAACAGAAGGGCCTCTAAGGGAATGTCTTACCTCATCATATTAACCATATATATTAGTAATATAATCTGCTCGAAAAGACACTACATTTTGCCTGGAAATGGCCAAAGATAAGGTCCAAGAGGAGCCTGGAGAGGCAAGAAAAGGCACAATGCCAGAGGGGGATGGATGGCAGTGGACAGAGCCAGGTGAAATCCCAGACAAGGAGGGAGCCACGCTGGCGAGAGTGAAGCAGGAGCAGTATCACAGGGCCCCCGTGCTCACAGCCTGATGTAATCCCTCTCACACTGGGCTCAGCCATATGACTAACTTTGGCTAGTGGGACATGGCTAAATGTCATGATGCCAGCAAAGGTTCAATAAGCCCTTGCACGTGAAATCTTGTCCTCTTGGATGCTTGCTCAGGAAAGCATGGTGTGAGGCTATGGCCATCTGACAAACCCAATGAGCTCCGAGCTGGAGGCCACCATCAACTGCCAGCCAGGTGAATGAGGCCATTCTGGAATCTTCCAAACTCAACACCTCAGCAAAGAAATAGAAGAACCAGCCAGTCAACCTACAGACTGGTGAGAAATAATTGTTTTAAATCACCAAGTTTTGGGGTGGTTTGTTTTACAGCAATGATAACTGAAACACAGCCACAATATTGGTTATGGATGTGGAGGTAATTTGCATGTATTCTGAGGAATATATCCGCCCCGGACACAGATCAATCCCCTGAAGCTGCAATGAAACCTGATTCCTAGACTATGATAACCTTTTGAATTCACTGCTGACACCTGTCCAGATGTCACCCACCTGCCAAAGCGAACACAATACTCATTCCCGGCTAACATCACCTTCATTCTTTTTTTGTTCTATTAACAAAATCTGGATATAGCACCTACCCAGACAATTCACTACTTTGATGACAAAAACATACCTGGCTTTGGCTTTCAAATTTCACACTGAAAAAACTTCCTGAGTGACCCAAACAACCTAAGGGTTTAGGTACTACTTTTTCTTATATGAGGGGTCTTCAAAAAGTTCATGGAAGGATTCATATTATCTTTTCATTCAATTTTTCCACGGACTTTTCGAAGTACACTTATATGTAACCTGCACACGGCAAGGTGAATGGGTTTTATCCCAACATCACCCCTAACTGTAAAGGACAGGAACCCCAAGGAACAAGAACCATCTCTAATTTATAGCTGGGAGACCAAGCCCAGTGTGAGGGACTCGTTTGCATACAGGCAACTGGTACCAGGACATATCCAGAGAGATCCTCACCCTAGTGGTTCTGAAGCAGGCTATAGCTGCAGGGGGCTCCCAGTTTCCTGGACTATTTCCTGCCAGTTTGTAGCTGGCTGAGTCCTCTGCTCTGTCCTCATCCCCCACCTCTTTCCACTTCCATGGAGCCTAGCCCAGCCCCCTGACCCCAATAGCCCTGTCTGCCAAACCCCTCGGAGAACTGGCAAGCAGAAAATCCATCTCCCCCTGAACAGCACAAGGCTCTGGGCTGCAGCCTTGCCTCCCTCGACAGTAACCAGCCCATAGGCTCGTGAACTTGGTTTGACACTGCTCCAGAGTCCTGTGGGAACCTTATTCACACAAGAGCTCAGCAATTTCCCCATATAGCTGGTGACTTTGCTGGTGCTGCATCTGGAGTTTTTCATAAAACCAAGGCTCACTGAAAATAGAAAGGAAAGTCCTATTTTCCTCCGAGGTCCTGTGTGAGCCTGCTACTGTCTCACCTGCTGACTCCAGGTGTTGTGCATCACACCTGATTTTTTCCTCCCCCTTAGCTGGTTTCTCATGGGCTTCCACTCCAGACTCACTTGTGGAACTCTTAGAACTCTTCCTTGCTCTGCAGTTGTGAAAATCTGGGGTCCCCATGTGTCCTCTTTGATCCAGCCCAGAGCCAACATTGGAACCGTGAATAGGAAACCCTGCGTGTGAAGAAGCAGAGAGAAGACATCAAGACCCTGCGAGCTGCAGCACATTTGTCTCAATCTGGATGGGCATCTGGCCCAGATGGGGCAGAACTGATCCAAGAAAAGCAAGATAACAGTGCATTTGGTAGAATCTTCCTCAAGTGTCCTGAGACTCCAGGGAAGGGCTGGTTCCTCCTGGAGGGCCTGGGCATAGAAGTGGAGCATCAGGGTTGGGTTATTTTGTTTTTAATCTCTTCTGCCACTGGAAGGCCTCAAAGCTGTCACACCTACTGGTGCGTGTGAGCACACATGCACCGTCTCCCACCTGTGCCTTTCACTAGCTACTGCCTGCCAGCCTCCTGCCCTGAACTACTCTTGCTCTGTTTTGCTCTCGCCCTTTGCATCTTCCCCTCCCTCTTATCCTTTCCTCCCTCACTCTCTGTCCCCACTGCTCTCACCTCACACTCACTCCCGTTCCCATTTGCTGGTCACGCGTGCTGCCCATCCATCATGAGCCCTCTTGCTGTCCCTTTCAATCTCTGCCTGTCTCTGTGGCTCTCCCACCTGCTCTATGTTCCCATTTATTTCCTCTCTCTCTCCACCTAACAGTCTCCCCACTCCCTCTGTCTGTCTCCTTTCCTCTCAGATTCTTTCAGTCTCTCTGAGCAACTGAACACATCTATCAGGACCTAGAGGGGAAGCAGATCCTTACCAAGAGAGATGTGCCTGTCATTCTTCTGGGTAGCTCCCCTGCAGAGAGCCCTTTGTGCAGGGCCAACGCACATCTGTTCTTGCTGACAGAAGGATACAGCTCTGTCCTCACACGTGGCTGATCCCTGTAACAACACCAGGGTCTGCTACTATGGATAAAATAGAACTGCTCTAGCCTATCACAGTCATCAGATCAGGGGCAAAGCAAAGGCATGGGAGGTCAGCCCTCCATGGCAAGAACTGGATGAGTAAAGAGCCTTGTGATGATGTCAGAGTGGACGTAGTAAGAAAACAACCTGAGAAGCTTAATGGACTATTTAAAATCTTTCTACTTTCTCTGGAAAAGAAGGGGTTTTAGGATGAGACTGAGTGCTAAGATGAAGTGGGAACTTCAAAAGAGACAGAAGGTGTCAACCACGGCTCACCTGGGACCCACCAGTCCAGACCACAGCACCTGTCTCCTGCTCTCGGAGACCCCTCTTCAGGGGCAGATTCCTGGGAACCTGAGGAACAAGCCAGGCTGGGGGAGGAAATGGCCACTGTTAGAGGACAGCTGCTGCACACAGAGCAGAGGTTTCAAAGTGGGCTCCCTGGGTCAGCAGCAGCAGCAGCAGCACCTGGGAACCCGTCAGAAATGCAAATTCTGGGGCCCTGCCCCAGATCCTCTGAATCAAAAACTCTGGAGGTGGGGCCGGAGAATCTGTGTTTTAGCACCCCCCACCCCCACCCCAGGTGAGTCTGATGCACACTCAAGGTTGAGAACCACAGCTATAGCCAACACCCTCTGTGTGTTGAGAAGTTCCTTTCGCCAGATTCCTCTTGGCATAATAACTTTAAAAAAGACAGTGGTTTTTGTTTTTGTTTTTCATTTTAAATATGTACATGTTAGAGGGAAAAAAATTAAATAGCACAATAGAGGGAGGGAAATATCTTCATAGCGCCCCCACCCAGAGATAACCGTAGTACTATTACAAATACCACAGTAACTGAATCTGTTATATTTTTCAGATCAAGATAATATATTCTTTCTCAAATCCCCACCTTCAAAAATTCTACAAATAAAATGATTCATTTTTAGGATTTATTAGCAGAACTTCAGCAGAAACTCAGAGACATGTGACCCCTGGGGAGGTTACAACACTGCAGGTCTGTGAGCTGTTGGAGGGCATGGCAACCACAGGGAGCGGAGCCTGGAGCACAGTGCATCCTGCTTCGCTTTCCCCACTGCCCCTGAAAGCGCAAAGCCTCAGACAGCACACACTAGAAAGCACAGGTGTGCCAAGGATCAAAAGGCAATAAATGCTGAGTGGCAAAGTTTACAAAGATATTGATAAGAATATTTACTTTGTTAAAAAAAAAAAACTAAAACAAATAAACCTCTTAGACAACTTAACATTTTATCAACACAAGTTTGCCAAGTTAAACATCATTAAGACACAATGCTTTCCTCCAGGATTCTGAATTACCTAGAGATGAGCTGAGCTGTAAAAGTTACCTAGCAACCTCTAATGGCAGCTTTCAGTTCAGTAGAAAAGGCAATGGACCTTAAGGCTATCTAGAAATGTATCCAGTCAAACTGCTTTATGGAAAAAACATAAAAATATAAAGCCATGGTATATTACACAATGGAATACTATCCAGCCATAGAAGGAAAGAAGGAAGTACTGACACATGCCAGACACAAAAGTCACATATCATATGATTCCATTCATATGAAATGTCCAAAACAGGTAAATCCAGAGATAGAATGGGAACAACTGCTTAGTGAGTACAGGGTTTCCTTCTAGGATGATGAAAAGTTTTGGAACTAGATAGGGGTAGTGGTTGAATAACAAAGTGAGTGTACTAAATACATGGCACTGAATTATTCACTTTAAAATGGTTAATTTTATGATATATAAATTTTACATCAATTAAAAAAAGTTTTTAATTAAAAAAGCTTTCTAAAAAAATTAAAATAAGTAAAAACAAAAAATAGAGCTTTGGAAGAAATTCAAAAATGATAAGAGAAATGTATTCTGGAAAAGATTAAGGGAAGGGAGTTTCATGTCTTCAAGTATATGAAGAACTACTATGCAGAAGGTGAGGGAAACAAGATTCATCTTTAGTAACGCCTGATTCCGAAGTAAAATAATTAAATTGCAATAAAAGAATTAGGCTAACACTATTTTAAGTGCTATTACCCTCAACTAAAATTTGAAATCTTGCTTTTTGGATATATTTCAAAGGCATTTAATCTGGAAACTAGGGCAGACTCGAGTTTAAACGTTTATTTCCAAAAAATGATTGTTCTCACCTGCCTCAGGTGAGGACATAGGCTCTGCTTACCTTCTGAGTGTTCCCATGGTCTCTGGTGTGAGCCTCGTGACTGCTTCAAAGTTTGCTCTTCTGGCTGAACCTCCTGTTTCTGTTGGGATCTGAGTAATTCTCTGGCTGCTCCCAAAGGAGCGATCTCCTCCACAAGCACTTTCAAGTCCTTCCCAGAATCTGGGACCTGAGAACAGACCCCATCATCCATCAGTACAAATTCCTGCTTAGGCTGAGCTTTACAATCCCTCAGAGGAGCATTAAAAAACGATATGAAATACAAGGAAGCAGAAGGGAAAAAACATTCTAGAAGCCAATGTATTGCTACTGTAATGAAACAAAAATGAATAGAATTCAGTCTTTGAAGTCATTAAATAAGATCATTTATATAACAGCACCTAGCATAGAGCCGGACACACCAGGTTAAAAAACAGCATACACTTATTTGTTGAAAGTGAGAACATCAGGGCCGGCCCGGTGGCGCACAGGAGAGTGCGCCGCTTGGGAGCGTGGCGGCGCTCCCGCCGAGGGTTCGGATCCCATGTGGAGACCGGTTCCCGCTCACTGGCTGAGCGAGGTGCGGGCGCAGCACCGAGGGTTGCGATCCCATTGCCGGTCCTGGTACGGGCGCGACACTGAGGGTTGCGATACCATTACCGGTCAGTAAAAAAAGACAAAAAAAAAAAAGAAAGAAAGAAAGAAAGTGAGAACATCAGCTTTCACTTTACAAAGGCCCTGTGATCTCAGAACTAGGGTATTTCCTCTCCCCACAAATCCAATGTCAGTTCTACCTTCAAAAGATGCCTTGCACTGGTCCTCTTCTGTCCACCTCCACAGCTTCCAGCCAGGTCCAGGACACCACCATCTGTCTGGACTGCTGTACTCACCTCTCAACTGGCTGTCCTGCATCCTCTCTACTGCGTAACCCTCCAATCCATTCTATGTGGAATCCAGTGTGATCTTTTCAAAATCTAAGATCACATCCTTCCCTGGTTACACTCTTCAGTGGCTTCCCATTGCATGTAGAATAAAATCCAAACTCCCCTTTGCAGCCTAAATGACTCAGCAGGCTTGGCCCCTGCCTTCCTCTCTTCCATTCCCTCATACACTCTTCCCTTGATCACTGAGCTCTAGCCACAGCCCTCCCTTTTTCTTCTAAAACATGCCAGGTCTTCTCCCACCTTAGGCTGATAGTGTGTGCTGGGCCCTCTGCCTGGAGTGCCCTCCTCCCAGCTCTTGGTACTCCTGGCTCCTTTTTTTTTTTTTTTTTTTAAAAAGTAACCCAATTTGGGGCCGGCCCGGTGGCGCACTGGATAGTGCGCCGCTTGGGAAGCGCGGCGGCGCTCCCGCCCAAGGGTTCAGATCCCACATACAGACCGGTTCCCGCTCACTGGCTGAGCGAGGCGCAGGAGCAACACCGAGGGTTGCAATCCCGTTGCTGGTCCCCAGTCCGGTACAGGGGCAACACTGAGGGTTGCGATCCGTTGCCGGACACGGAAAAAGACAAAAAAAGACAAAAAAAAAAGTAACCCAATTTAAAAATGGGCAAAGAAGCTAAAAAGACAATTTTCGAAAGAAGACATACAAATGGCCACAGGTACTTGAAAAAATGCTCAACATCACTAATCCTCAGGGAAATGAAAATGAAAACCATATTGAGATATCATCTCACCCCAGTTAGACTGGCTATAATCAAAAAGACAATAACAAATGCTGATGAAGATGCAGAGAAATAGGAACTCTTCTACACTGTTTGTGGGACTGTAAATGAGCACAGCCACTAAAGAAACAGTATGGAGGTTTCTCAAACAACTACAGATAGATCTACCATATGATCAAACAATCCCACTTCTGGGTATATGCCCAAAGGAATGTAAATCATCATGCTGAAGGGATACAAATACTCCCATGTTCATTGCAGCTCTATTTACAATAGCCAAGAGTTGGAACCAACCTAAACGTCCATAGACAAATGACTGAATAAGAAAATGTGGTATGTACTCAGCCATAAAAAAGAATGAAATTCTGCCATTCACAGCAGCATGGATGAGCTTGGAGAAAATTATGCTAAATAAGCCTGGCACAGAGGTAAAAATACTGCATGTCCTCACTCATAACAGGGAGCTAAGAGAGAAAGAAGGAAGGAAAGAAAGACCACAGTAGTGTGCTGGACTTGCAAAGGGAGAGAGCATACCTAGGGTTGGGGAGAAGGGGAGGCAGATGGGTACCAGGAAGAGGCTGATTGGGGGACACAGAGAATAACTGCAATCTGAGGTGGTGGGCATGCTGATAGTACTGATCTGCTTACCATATCTTGGGCACAGGTGCTGACAGTCAGCTATGTGCCCCATGAATATGTATATCAATAAAAATATATAATTTTTTAAAAATTAAAAAAAATTTTTTTTGCTATATGTATTCTCTTTAACTGTAGGATTTCTTAATGAATTTTAAGTACATAAAATTAATTAATTTTAAATGTACAATGTTTTTAAAATACAAGTATATCGGTTTAACATCAGTAAAATTATCACCCACATCAAAACATAAAACATTTATTTTACATATGAATGCCATGTTATTTACCACATAAAAGTCTCTTAAATTTTACATCCTGTATTGTATGTTTTGTAAATATAAAATATCTTGTTATATGCTTGGATTCTGCCTAATAAAAATATTGCTCTCTATTTCCATGAGTTATAGTTTTCAGTAGGCTCATATTATCTTTCAATTCTATTTTTCTATAAACTTTTCGAAATACCCTAGTATCTTTAAACCTTTTTATCTTTTGTTTTATATAAATGTATTACAGGTTAGAGACTGATTTTTGCCCCAGTTTGAATCTTCTTAGTAAGAATATTTAACCAGCTTATGAGTATGATAACTCATCCTTACCTCTATCTATTTTATGCTAATTTTAATGCTTCCTTACTGTTTTTCTTTTGCTATATTTTCTCTTTTTTTTACCACTTCCTTTCTATTCCAAAATATTGGAACGTATATATTTTATTTTTGTCTGTAACACTTTTCTCAATGTCAAATTTACTTATATGAACTATCAGATGATGCAGTAACTATTGTCTTTCCCCATGCAACATGTACATAAAACAAGGTTATGTCCACACCCACCCCAACCAGTGTTTGGAAGTTTTCTTTTTACACTGTCAGAATTTACAATATAAACAAACTTGGTACTTTTTTTTCTCTACATAAAGTAAATAAAATAAATTTTATTTATATAGTAAAACTGTACTATTTTCCAATTTTGTCAGATTAACATTTAGAATGCCTTTACTCTACTTGTCCTATCCACAGGGATAAAGCCCTTTTATTTTACTTATGTTTCGTTTAAGAATACACATATCTTTATCAACAATACTACACGTTAAAACTAAAACAGTACTTATTTGCCTAATATATTGAACATTTGGCATGCCCTTTCACAGTTTAAAACTATATAAATTGAAATTTTATTTATTTTTGTATTTATTTTTATTACCCCATATATAACAATTTAAATTTAATGCTCCTTAACTAGTTCTAATGCTTAACATTAACTCTTTCACACAATTGCCTCCCTCCTCTTGAGTGATTTTAGTTCATTTCTCTGTTGGCTGCAGTAAATTATTCAGCAAATTTTTCAGGGAAGGTTCTTGGTTGACATACTTTCTTAACCCCTGCATATTTGAGAATGTCTTCCAGTTGCCTTTGTACAGAAATGATAACTTGGCAGGGTATATAATTCTTGGTTCAAAATTATTTTCCCTTAAAACTCTGTAGATATTGTTCCATTATTTCTGGCATTTAGAGTCACAAGAGAAAACTCTGAGGTCAGCCTGACTGTTGCCACTTTATACGTAACTTGCTTTCTATCTAGATACTTGCAGAATTTTTCTTTATCCTTGAAATTTTAAAATGTCACCAGAATATGTCTAGGTGTTGCTTTTCATCAAATCAAAAGTACCACATTAAAAAAAAAAATGTACCACATGCACTTTTTCTATTTGTATATCTAGTTCACTCTTGAACTCTGGAAAGTTTTCTTCAATTAGTTCCTTAATTACCATTTCAGCTCCATTTGCTTTGTCCTGTTTCAGGTATTCCTATCATGCATAGATTGTATCCCCTGGACCAGCCCTCTTTGTCTTTTTCTCCTCTTTTCTTATCTTGATTTCTTTTCCCTTTTCTCGGCATTCTGTGAGACTTTCTCTTGTTTTATTTTTACTTCAGTAATTTGATTTTGTAGACAATCCAGTTTGTACATTTCTGTTAACTCTCTCAACACCCTGATACTTTTCAAGCTCTCTGACCTTCCCTTCTTTATCACTGCATACAGGTTGTTAAACCCCCGTATTATATGATTCTTAAACCTTTCTATAGCTTCTATTTCCAGCACTAAAACCGTTTCAAGAGGAGGCATTTTCTCAATTGCTTAGCTCTGTTCCTTTCTTTTTAACTGCAGTATTATGACCTTTTCAATAGCTCCTCTTAGCAACGAGGACCAAAAATGAAGATTAAGGGACGTCTTCCGCAGCACAGAAGATAAAACTTCCAAAATGGTTCCTGTTACATCACACATAACACCTGGTTCCTTCTCCTTCACAGCTCAGCTCAAATCTCACCTCAGAGAGGCGCTGCCTCACTTTCTAGCTCCCCCCACCTCTCTCCCCCAAGATCACTATCAGATCACCAAGCACTTTATTCATTGGCTCACTGTCTGTTTCCCCCATGGAATGCAGGCTCCAGCAGGCCAGGGGCCATTGCCTGTCTTGTTCACTCTACAATCTCCAATATCTGGCATATTGTAGTCACTTAAAATCAGCTTCCTTCTTTCACAGCCACCTTCATTCTTCAAGTCCCATGCTTACAACTGGCTCTTAAAGTGAATGAGAAGAGGTTCCAAGAGGTAACTGGAGACCTGAGAAATGATGTCAACCTCTATCACTACTTCCCCACCCCCAGTTCTTGCTCTCCCTTTCACTTTCATAGTAGGTTTCAAATAGCTGTTTTACCCTTTACACTCCATACTGTTTTCATTTATATTCAGAGTTTGGTTCTGACAGGATGAGGGATAAGAAAGGTAAAGATCATCATCACAGAGAAACAGCAAGGAGAACTGAGGCTAGGGAGTCCCACTCTATTCAGTTCACCTCTCCAAACTCCACCTTTATATATGTGCTACTGCCCTTCTCCACTCAAGCCTACTTATTAGTAAGAGTCCCAATTCCAGAGACTTCAAATTAATGTCCTTGACTTCTTCCCTAATGCTTCCCTTCTCTAAACAGAAGTACTCAATCCTCAACCCCAGCAAATTTCATCTACACCCCCCTTCACCACTCCTCCTCCCATAGCCCCGGCACATCCCCACCTCCTCACCAGGAAATGCAAGCATCTCCACTGCCTGGGTCCTTCCCCTTCCAGCCATGTAGATTCAGGGCACCCAGTGAGCTGCTTCCTGCTCTGACTGCAGACCCTCTCAGGCTGACCAGCACTCCTGTGACCCACACCACTCCATCACTCTAGGCCTCTCCCAGACTTCTGATCCAGATTTCAGCTGCCTTCCTCCCATCGAATCTTCCATGACCAAAAAACCACATGTTACTTTTCTCTTCCTATGCCTTTCATACCTCCCTTCTCCCAGAATATACAACCTGGTTATGATGATCGGATATCAGACCTAGTCCCAACCACAGATGAATATTTTGTGAACCGATCACTGACCCAAACAGACCACTTAATCCAGGCAGCAAGAACCAGGGCAAGGACTGGCTCTAATACAACTCTGTTTAATGTACAACACATGGTACTCTGCCTTCAAAGAACCTTCTAGCAAGAGATACGATTTTAATTCACCAACATCTCTAATTTTTCTGACCCCCCTAAGTGAAGAATAGTTGTCCTTTCCCTGGCCCTGTGTTAGAGAATTCTTCTGGGTGTTTTTACCATTTTAGTTAGGAACTCTAAACATTACTGAATGTATGCACGTCTAAAAGTTATATCTGCAGATGAGAAATTCTTCCCATACAATAAGGGCAAAGGACCAACATAGCCAAGACTTTCTGTGAGTGGCATGAACTTCTGTGCATTTTTCAAACAAGCTCCTTTGTAACTGGATTCCTGTGCTTCTCACCCCAACTTCTCCATAACCAAAACCAGGTTCCTACTTCCTTTTCTCACCTGTTGTCCAGGAGCTCTCTGCACACCCTCAACCAGAGCCACAGCTTCCTCGCCATTTTCTGGACACTGCTCCCTCACCCAGGTCTGGATCTCCTCTGGCAAGATGGTCAGAAACTGCTCCAAAACCAGCAGCTCCAGGATTTGCACTTTTGAGTGTGTCTTAGGTCTCAGCCACTGACAACAGAGTTCCCAGAGTCTGCTAAAAGCTTCATGGGGGCCAGCTACCTCCTGGTAGCAGAAGTGCCTGAAGCGCTGGCGGGAGGCCTCGAAGTCAGGGCTGTTGCCCTGAAGGGCTAATTTCTGTCCCTGTGTGGAGTCCTTGTTTGAGGATGGGTATGCCTGGGGACCCGCTACTGCAGCCATCATTTGCTTCAAAGAACTGGGTCACTCTGGTTGCCACTTCTTTCCTGGGGACCAGATTCCATCTCTTTCCATGTCACTGAGAAGTCATGTTCTTCTGGAAGTAGTGTATTTCTGGAATCAGAGAGACAAGAGAGTGTCACAGATGTGCAGAGACTCACAGCTGAAAGAAAAGGCTCAACTTTGAAAGGAGGAAGGGGATGAAAAGAGACAGAAGAAACCTATCCCATATTCCTTCACTCTGCTTCTTGTGACTTACTTTCTACACCTTTCCTTTACTCCCTCCACAAATCCACACCAAGGATCCAAAATGCTAGAAATACCAAAAAAACATAGTTTTCTCCCCAGCAAAGTTTCTGTCTCTGCTAACGAATTACCCAAACTATTCCTCACCATGTAGTCCACCAGTTCCTTCTCTTCTTCCCCCACATACCTGGGTCTTTTTCCCATCCTTCTCTACCCTCAAGAAGCTGAAACACTCCATCCCAATTGTCACCTTCTCTTAAGGAGAAAACTAGTGTGTGTGTGCTTCTTGATTAACCTCTTCATCACTATGACACCGTCCCCCCTCCCCACTACCACCACACACACACACAATGTGAATGATGAGTGATTGTTCTAGTTTGTTGTATGTTATTTTCCAGCATTCCTTCCCACCTTCCTTTGCAGAAGAGTCCCTCTCTACTTCACGGCTCTGGTGGGGCTGTTAATTACAATACTCTCTCCTCACCCCAGAAGTGACCATATGACATAGCTGGGCCTACTAAAATTCTTCTCTTGAGATTTTACATACAAGAGGGGTGGGAAAAGTTCTGAATTTCCTGGGAATTACTAAATTGGGCAGATGTAATACTGGAGCTCTCTTCAACTATGTCCCACTCTATTTCACTCCTCTACCACAGGAGTAAGCCTGTTTACAGGAGAAGACCAATACACCAGAGTCTTGACAACATGTTTGGATCTCCAATGCCAGTTTACATAATGCAATCTTTTTAAATTGGCTTGAGTTGGGTTTCGGTTATTTAAAACTCGGACTAAAGCAGATATAATAGTAATGGGCAAGACAGTATCCTCTTTAAATTTTATATAAAAGCTGCTATACCCCCCACTTGGCAGTATTAAAATGGATTCAGGTTGCACAACAATGTGAATATACTCACTGCTACTGAACTATACGCTTAAAAATGGTTAAGATGGTAAATTTTGTTATGTTTCTTACAATTAAAATTTTTTTAAATTATTATTATTTTTTATTTTTATTTTTTAAAAAGATGACCGGTAAGGGAATCTTAACCCTTGGTGTTGTCAGCACCACGCTCTCCCAAGTGGGCTAATCGGCCATCTCTATATAGGGATCCAAACTCTTGGCCTTGGTGTTATCAGCACCACAATCTCCCAAGTGAGCCATGGGCCGGCCCTTAAAATTTTTTAAATTGTTTTTAAAAATGGACTTGGGTTGCCTGTCTTCCAAAGGACTTGAACTGCCTTAACTTATACTCTCATTACATTTCGGGGGAGAAGGGGTTGAGGAATCAAGGGCTTTATTGTTAGCACTCCTTTTTAGCAAAAGAGGAGAAACTGAGGGCGATTAAGTATCTTGCCTAGCGTCACACAGCACAGCTCCTAAGCAGCAAGGCCAGTTCTTGAACCTGCACCTGCTACCTTACACACTTTTTGGCGTTCTGTACCTAATAAACGCTCTCCTGGTTTCATGCAGAAGGCGGAGCCTGCCTCCTCCTGACCCCTCATATCCCACACATCGCTAAACTTCAGGACGCTGGTCTGTCAAAACCGTTCCTCTCCAGCGACCGCCCAAAAGCTCGGACAAAGGCAGAGTGAGAACGGGCGCCGGACGCCTCATTCTTCGCTCGGCGAGGACTGACAAGTACCGTACTCCGCTCCACGGTCAGGTACTGGGGAGACGGAGTAGGAAGGAGGCCCCGCAGGTCCCGCACGCCGGCGAGCCGGGGTCAAGAGGCGCGGGGACAAGGCAGGAGGGTCCGAGGCGCCCGCTCTCAGGTTCGGGGGCGCGGGGGGCGGCGACGGCGGAGCGTCCGAGTCGCCCGGCCTGAGGCAGGCCGCCAGTCCCACCGAGACGCCCACCCGGGCCCGGCCCAACTGCCCCGGGAAGACTCCCGAGGGTGAGGGGCTCCCGGGCCGACTTGGAAGCGGGCCTCAAGGAAGCGGAGAACTCACCGGACACGAGGGCTCACGACTCTCCAAACTCCTTCAGTCGCCGGGCCGGAAGTGAGCGGCGCGAGCCCAGGCGCTACGCCGCCCACTGCGCACGCGTGCAAGCTGAGCCACCGGACTACAACTCCCGGGGTGCACTACGACGGTATTGACAGAGTAGCAGCCAATGGAGGCGGGAGGACACCCTCGAAGAGCCAATCCCTTGTGAGAAGGCGGGCCCTCCCGCGGGGCCGTTCCCCGGCAGCCAGTGGGCGTCTCCGCCACGAGCGGCTTCGGCCCCGCCCCCAGCCGATGCTCCCGAGTCCCGGGTCCCCGGTCCCCAGAGAGGTGAGTCGGCTGCAGGCGGGCGCGGGAGCCGGGCTGCTCGGGACAGCAGTGTCGCAGGCGCCCGCCCCGGCTCGCACTCTGCCATGTAGTCGAGCTGCGCGCCGGATTGCCGCAGCTTCGTCAGGCCCGCGGCCCGTCGGGCAGAGGAGCCGAAACGGGGCCGCCCTGGAGGCCGGAGCCGCTGGGCCTGCGGCGCCTCGGAGCGAGCGGCCACAGCGCCCGCCTCAGCCTCGGTCGCGGGGAGCAGGCTCGCCGCTGGTCACAGCTCCCGGCCAGCGCTGTGGCCTTCCTGGGCTCTACGCGTTAACGCCCGGCGACATGCTCGAGGTCGGTTTCAGCCAGGATGCGGGAGAGTTGGGGCAAGCTACCTGTAAGACAGCTTAAACTTTTCCTAGGAATTGCTTTCTGCCGGCCCATTAGATCGCATTGCTTGTTTCGTCTGAGACCTTGTGTGCTTAGGACTGAAATAAAAGAAGTATTTTCCCCATTGTCTTTTTAGGACGTTATGACTTTTTTCCTCTGCAAGACAGTTCAAAAAACTGCCGGAAGGACAAACTCTTCCCACTCCTAGGGACTGTGTTGTCTTCAGAGTTTGGGGTAGAGGCTAGCAAATGAGAAGGCCCTGTCTCTACATCCTATCCTCCCAGACATCCTCAGAGGATCTTCGTTTCCAACTAGCATCTTTCTAGCATTCAGAGAGACTTCTTCAGGGTCATGATCCTGAAGGCTTGACCTGTATACAAGGAGAGAGAAGTTGTCTCCTGAGCCCCAAAATGGCAGCTAAAATGGAGATAACTTTGAGCTCCCACACTCAGGCTTCCTCCAAGCAAGAAAGACACATAATAACAAAGCTAGAAGAGAAAAGAGGGCCCACTCTGCAAAAGAACTGCCCCGATCCTGAGCTCTCTCGCCAGAGCTTTAGACAGTTTTGTTATCAAGAGGTGTCTGGACCCCAAGAGGCGCTCTCCCAGCTCCGACAGCTCTGCCGTCAGTGGCTACAGCCTGAGCTGCACACCAAGGAGCAGATTTTGGAACTTCTGGTGATGGAGCAGTTCCTGACCATCCTGCCCACGGAGATCCAGGCTCGGGTCAGGCATCGATGTCCAATGAGCAGCAAGGAAATTGTGACCCTGGTGGAAGATTTTCACAGAGCATCCAAGAAACCAAAACAGTGGGTAAGGAGGGTCCTCTCTCATGGTCCCCAGGATTTCTTTTTCATCTGGGAAGTGTTTGATCTCTAGGATCCCTCCCTAGTTAGACAGAGTCCAGAAATGGACTGGATGGCTTCAAAAGTTGTTTCCGGCCTCTATCTGGGAGCTCTCTGTAGTTGTAACAGGCTTTCAGCAAACCCAGCTACTGGCCTCCAAAGAGGAAGCAGAGGACCAAGGTTCTTACCATTCTTTTATGGGCCTCATGTCCCCAGAAGTAGTTTTAAGGTTCTTGAATCTCTGCTGTCAGATCTTCCCCCATCCCTTTCTCTTGAAGTTTTCCTATAATCAGAATTCTTAGCAGGCAGGGGTTATCCTGTTGTGTAGGAATCTGACTTTGGAGGAACTTCACTGGACTTTGTTCCAGTGAAGTGTCTGCCATGTTATCTTTGGATCAGGAAGTTACAGCTTAATTGGCCAGTGCTGCTATTCCATCCCACCCCCATGCCCCAAGTGAGACCCTAGTCGGGGCCTAGGCAGGAAGCAAACAAGCATGTGCTTTGGAAAATGGAACCTGTCACAGAACAGGGGTGAGGCAGTCCTTGTAGACCCTTGCTACTACTACTGCTACTACTGGGATCTCTACCAGGAGATCCTTTGGCAGAACAACTTATTAGATAAGAATGGTTTTTAATGGCCACTCACCATACTGCTTCCTGTTTCTACAGGGCCTGTTTCCAGTAGAAGTAGGAAAGGGGATAGGGTATAGGGTGGGAGTCTGATGGCCCAGTGTCATAACTGACCCTGCCTGATATTTGTGCCAGCAGTCCTCTGATGACTTCGACTCCAGGCCTCAAGAATGGCCCAAGCTTTAGGGTCAGCCACTTTGGAGGTATTGGCTGATTCCTGTCATTCTGCATGTTCTTCTCTTTGCTTCCTTTGAGGGTTTCAATGGTCTCTGTCAAATTTGATATCTAGGCCCTTATCAGGAATTCCCAAGGTAAAGGGGTCGTTATAGAGCAGTGAAAGGTGAAGCTGCCCTCCGTCAGTCGTAATGAATGGAGCATTAATGGATGGGGCTTGTTCCTAGGTGGCCGTTTGTATGCAGGGGCAGAAGGTGCTCTTGGAGAAAACTGGATCTCAGCTTGGAGAACAGGAACTTCCAGACTTTCAACTGCAAACTCCTAGGACAGATCTCAGGGAGAGCTCTCTGGAGGAGCCTTCCCAGACAGGATCTCATGACCGACTGAGCCCCCATGATTGGGAGAAATCCCCACTCCTCCAGGAACCAGTCCCCAAGTTGGCTGGGACAGGTAAACGCTCTGTGCCTCTTCTCTCCCACTCCCCCACCCTTTATCTGCATCAAAGTATCTTAAAGGCAAAGTTCTGCAAAGGCTCAGACCAGGGGTGTGTGTATATGTATGTTTTTTTAATGTTGTATGTAATTATAGGTGTTTATTCCCTAAAAAATGTTACTACTTAGAATGGTAGTGATACTATAAATATGAAGTACTGTATGTTTTTATCATTTTCTATTAATGGGTGTTTGACAATCCAGTGCATGACAGGATTAATCTAGTACCTACTTTTCTGTCTCTTTCAGTGCTTCTTATAGTGAAAACAGATCCACATATGACCACTGATGAACTTGCATGCAAGCTGTGGCTAAGTTTCTTTACTTAAAATGGTCCCATATTTAGAAAAGATCTAAAGAATGTTCTGCCTGGTGGAGAAAAAGTTCTACTCCATATGATTTCTCTTCCTCGTCCTCTGTGACATTGTTTGTGCTTTAAACCCTGTGTCTATTACCCTGTCTGTCTCTGGTGCAATCCAGTGTAATTGCCGGCCCTGTTCTACACAGGCCTGTGGTCTCTAAGACTGAATGACACTTGGGCCAGTCTTGGTGATGTGAATACAGGGTACTGTCAGCAGGTTAGAGAGGAGGGTTATAAGAAGACTAGAGCCTTTTTTTCCTTAACATCTGCCACATTCAGTGAAACACTTTGTGTCTTAGTCCATTCAGGCTGCTATAACAAACTACTAGAAACTGGGTAGCCAATAAACAACAGAAGTTAGGCTGGCCAGTTAGCTCAGTTGGTTAGAATGTGGTGCTGATAACACTAGGGTCCATGGTTTGATCCTTGTACTGGCCAGCTGCCAAAAAACTTTTTTTTTTTTGGTCAGTTGCCCAACACAGGGAACTGAACACTGGACCTTGGTGTTAGAAGTCTGTGCTCTAACTAACTGAGCTAACTGGCAAGACACAGCTGCCAAAAAAGAAAAGAAAAGAAAAGTAGAAATTTATTTCTCACAGTTCTGGAGGCTGGGAAGTCTGAGATAAAGCTGCCAGCATGGTTGGGTTCTGCTGATGACCTTCTTCTGGGATGTAGACTGCTGAGTTCTCTCTGTGTCCTCACGTGGCCGAAGGGGCAAACAAGCTCCCTTAGGCCTCTTTTCTAAGGGCACTAATCCCATTCCCACAGAGGCAGAACCATCATGACCTAGCCATCTTCCAAAGGCCCCACCTCTTAATACTATCACCTTGGGAGTTAGGATTTTAACCTATGGATTTTAGGGGAATCTAAACATTCAGTCCATTGCAACTTTGGTTTGATTATTCTCAGAACTCAGGAAATGGAGAAGAACTGGGACGTAAAGAACAAAAGTTTGTGACTCTGGTTGAGGTCCTGACCCATAGCCTATGGCCTTCATGGTTCTGAAGAAAATGGACCACATATACTCCCTGCTCCTAACTCAGCCAGGGCAGCTGGGTATGAGCGTGATGTCTTTATCTCCTTTCATTTGATCCCCAAGAGGGTAGATTCCTCGACTCCTCATGCCTAAGGCCCACTAGTGCCTTCCTTCAGAGCCACACTGCCCAGTACAGTAGACACCAGCCACGTGTGTCTATTTAAATTTTACTTATTAAAATATAATTCATATACCATAAGATTCACCCTTTAAGTATACAGTTTAGTGGCTTTTAGTATATTCACAAAGTTGTGCAGCCATCACCACTAATTGCAGAACATTTTCATCACCTAAAAAGAAACTTCATACCACCCCCCCACAAAAAAAAAAGAAACTCCATACCCATTAGCAGTCACTCCTCATTTCTGCCTCCCTCTAGGCCCTGGCAACTGCTAATCTCCATTCTGTCTCTGGATTTGCCTATTCTGGACATTTCATGTAACGAATCATAGTTGTATGATAAGTGGTCTTTTGTGTCTGGCTTTTTTTATTGAGATAATGTTTTCAAGGTTCATCCCTGTTGTAGTATGTATCAGTGTTTCATTCCTTTTTTGTTTTGTTTTGTTTTTGGCATCTGGCCAGTACAGGGATGTTATCAGCACAGCGCTCTTAACTAAGTGAGTTAATCGGCCAGCCCTCATTCCATTTTTATGGCTGAATAATATGTATTGTATGGAGATACTACATGTTATCTGTTCATCAGTTGATGGATTTTTGGATCGTTTCTACTTTTTGGCTATTATGAATAGTGCTGCTATGAACACATGTCTACCAGTTTTTGTGTAGACATGTTTTCATTTCTCTGGGCTACATACCTAGAAGTGGAATTGCTGGGTCATATGGTAACTTTATGTTTAACTTTTTTTTTTTTCTTTCAAAGACCGGTAAAGGGATCTCAGCCCTTGACTTGGTGTTGTCAGAACCACACTCACCCCAGTGAGCTAACCTGTCATCCCTATATAGGGATCCGAACCCGTGGCCTTGGTGTTATCAGCACCACACTCTCCCAAGTGAGCCACAGGCCGGCCCTTCTATGTTTAACATTTTTGAGGAACTAACATACCATTCTCAAAAGTGGCTACCAACAGACCATGAGGATTCCAGTTTCTCCACATCCTTGTTGGCATCTGTTATTGTCAGTCTTTTCCATCACGGCCATCCTGTTAGATGTGAAGTGGTATCTCCTTGAGGTTTTGAATTGCATTTCCCTAATAACTAATGATGTTGAGCATACTTCCATGTGTTTATTGGCCAATTGTATATCTTTTTTGGAGAAATGTCTATTCCGATCCTTTGCCTATTTTAAAATTGGGTTGTCTTTTAATTATTGAGTTAAAAGAGTTCTTTATGTATTCTGGATACTCAGCCCTTATATATAATTTGCAGATGTTTTCTCCCATTCTGTGGGTTGTCTTTTCACTCTTCTGATAGTGTCCTTTGAGGCGCAAATATTTTTCATTTTGATGCAGTCTAATTTCTCTATTTTTCTTCATTTGCTTGTACCTTTGGTGTCATATCTAAAATATCATTGCCTAACCCAGGGTCACAAAGATTTACAGCTGTTTTTTTCTTCAGAGAGAGATAGGGTTAGCTTTTACATTTAGGTCTTTGGTACATTTTGTGTTAATTTTTGCATATGGTATGAGGTAGGGGCCTGTCATAGTCCGTTCAGGCTGCTATAACAAAATATCTTAGACTGGGTAATTTATAAACAACAGAAATGAATTGCTCACAGTTTGAAGTCTGGGAAGTCCAAGGTCAAGGTGTCAGCAGATTCAGTGTCTGGTGAGGGTCTGTTCCTCATGGATGGCACATGCTATGTGTCCTCACATGGTGTCTTCATGTGGTGGAAGGACAAAAGGGGCAAACAAGTTCCCTCTGTCCTGTTTTATAAGGGCACTAATCCCATTTCTGAGGGCTCTACCCTCATAAACTAATTACTTCCCAGATACCCCACCTCACAACACCACTGCACTGGGGATTAAGTTTCAACATATGAATTTAAAGGGGACACAAACATTCAGACCATAGCAGGGTCCAACTTCATTCTTTTGCATGTGGAAATCTAGTTGTACCAGCATCATTTATTGAAAAGATTATTCCTTCCCAATTGAATTGTCTTGATAACCTTTTTGAAAGTCAATTCACCATAACTGTATGGGCTGCTTATTTAAATTTAAATTAATTAAAGTTAAATTTAAAATTTAGTTCATCAGTCATACTAGCCATATTTCAAGTACTCAGTAGCCATGTAGTCACCTGTAGCTAGTGGCCCCTATACCGAACAGCACACACACAAATTTTCCACATCACAGAAGTTCTATTGGATAGTGCTGCTCCAGATCCTCTGGCTTCCCACAGGCCATTCCAGCTGATTTTCATCCTGATCCTTAATCTTGGTGGTCAGAAGTTGAGGAGTTTCTGTAATTAGTATACATGTCTAGCCCATATTTCGGTTCCTAAACACATATGCTGTCAACTTTGTAATGGAAGAAAACACTACAGTCAGTGGATTTACCAGCCTCTGAAGACAAGGTGGTTATCAATCAGTGTCCATGTAAGTAAAGGGTATTTGTTGAAAAAGCCTGGGCACTGGACTATAAAAGTGAAATTTGCAGTGTTGAAATTTCAACTCTCTTCCTTCTTTTATTCATTAGTTGATACTCAGTTCTGATGGGTTTGCTTTTCCCTGTTCCTCCTTTCCTTAACCTTTCCCTAAACATAGGAAGGAAGGAGGGGGTTGGAGAACTTGGTTCCTAACTTAAATATAAATCAGAATCACCCCCAGGAGCCTGTGAATTATGAAGATTTTTACATCCAACTCCCAGAGATTCTGACTCAGCAGCTTTGGGGGAAGGGCAGGGAGCCTGCTTGTTTAGCAAGTAACCCAGACAAGTCTGATGCAAGTTGCCAGTGGAGGGCCAGAGAAATATTCTGCCAAATACCTTGCAGAGTATTTCATAACTCTCTTTCTGACACTCTTTCTTACAAGTCCAGAAAATAAAGCATATTTTTTTCTAATTACAGAGGCCCCCAGAATAAGAAGTGACAACAAGGAAAATCCACAACAGGAAGGGGCTAAAGGAGCAAAGCCATGTGCAGCATTAGCTGGTAGGTCCAAAGGGAACAGTCTGGAGAGCTCTGAACCGAGAGGGGCAAATATAAGTGAACCCCGGTTGTCACGGAGGCAGGTCAGCCCCCCAAAGGCTCAAAAGCCATTTGCTCACTACCAGAGACATTGCAGGGAACTGGAATACATCAGCAGCCCCCTAAAAAGCCATCCACTGAGAGAGCTGAAGAAAAGCAAAGGAGGTAAAAGAAGCCTGAGCAGTCGTTTGCAACGTCTCAGTCGCCAGCCAACCCGTTCAGCAAAGAAACCTTACAAGTGCGATGACTGTGGGAAAAGCTTCACATGGAATTCAGAGCTGAAAAGACACAAGAGAGTCCACACAGGAGAGAGACCCTACACATGCGGAGAGTGTGGAAACTGCTTTGGACGGCAGTCAACCCTGAAGCTGCATCAGAGGATCCACACTGGAGAGAAGCCATACCAGTGCAGCCAGTGTGGGAAAAGCTTTCGCCAGAGCTCAAATCTTCACCAGCATCACAGACTCCACCACGGGGACTGAAAGGAGTGCTCCATGCTTTAGACTTCACGAGGAAGGTATTTGCATCTCTCCTCCCCCTTACTTGCATGTAAATCACAAAGACTTTCTCTGTGACTTACAAAGAAAGCAGGAGGCCCTTGAGAAAGGTTGGTCACATTTGGCTGGCAAGGAGCTCCAGAAGAGGCTGGCCTGGTCCCCAACAGTGCATGCTAACAGAGCAAAGAGATGGCAGGTCATCTGAGTGTTGGATCAAAGAGAACTACAGTCTCTGCAGAGAGCTGGGAGTAACCACTGAGGGAGAATCAGGACCATCCTGCAGGTGGCCCCCTATTGTTAAATTATCCCCCTGTTGCTTTATTTATCCTCTAAAATATGTAAAGGGTAAATTCTATGTATATAGTTGTGCATTTGCCATCATACTAGGCAATTTCTATCATATGCACACTTCCTTAATAAAGATGAGTAATCCACCAGCATTTCAAGGCAAAGTTCATTGGAAAATAAATCCCTTAATATTCTCTTTGCAATTCCTAGCTGTTCATAACAAAGAACAAATTAAGTGAGACTATGTACGTGTTTGTGTGAGGAGATGGTTCCTAAGTAATTAGATAGTGCTTTTACCCAAAAATAAAAAATGCATTTGAGGGATCTTTTTATATCAAGGCACCTTTGGTTTACAAAGAAGAAACCCACACAGCTGCTGCAACACCAGCCCAAGAGATAGGGAAAAGCTACACTGAGAAGCAGTAGTAGATAGAGACTGCTAAGGAGATATAAGAGGGAATTCTCCCTACTCTCCTTTGTCACTTTGATCATGAGCTTGAGGAATCCCAAAATGAGTGGGGTAATGAAATGTTCTAAAACTGGATTACAGTAATGGTCGACAAATCATTGAAATGGATTCATTTTATGATTTGTAAATTGTACCTCAATAGTGTTTTTTAAAAATGAGAAAACATTTATATATAAAATGTTAGAGTCTTGGAACTAGGCCTGGGAGATCATCTAATCTCACCCCCTTGTTTTCTCAAAGTGGAAATTACAACCCAATCAGTATATGATGCTCAGTTGCCCTGGGCAAGCCAGCTCATTTCTCAGTTTAGAGAATAATTTTGGCACATTCTTGCACCACCTCATACGGAAAATAGGAGCAGGTAGCATTCTTCCTAAACATTGGTGTCATCAAGTCACAGCTGGTCACCTCTGGGCTTTAGCCTGTGTTCTTCTGCCCCCAAGAATCTTGTTCCTCCTAACTGCAGAGGGACAGGTGCATACCCATAAGTCCTCACTTGGGGACTTTGCACATGCTCTTCCCTTTGCCTTTGAGTCCTGCCACTACCCACCCCCTCCTGCCTCCTCCATCTCGCCAGAGTTGCCTGCTGTGCACAGCCTTCCCAGACAAACCCCAGGTGGACTGCTGCTGAATCCTGGGTCAGCATCCCCGCTAGACTCCACACCCCAGGGGGGCTCCACCTGGGATCAGTCTTGCCCCCAAGGGGACATTTGGCAAAGTGTGAAGACATTTTTGGTTGTTGTGACTCATAGGAGAGGGACTTGCTTCTGGCCTCTGATAGGTGGAGACCAGGATCCTGCTAAATGGCCTACAGTGCACCGGACAGCCTCCACCACAGTGATCTGGCCCAACGTGTCAGTGGTGCCAAGGCTGGAAACTGTACCATACACACAGAAGCGCCTTCAGGACAGGAACCTTATTTTCATCATTTCAGCCATTAGACTTAGCCCGTGCCCAGCCAAGAGAAGTAGGTGTTCAGTAAGTGAGTAGTTGAGGACCCAGCATTCCCCTCAAGGCCCGTTGCTGCCTGAATTCAGGAATCCTAGTGATAGTCTGCCAATTGCACAGACACGGCCTTTGTCTTTTGGACAGAAGCTTATTGAAAGCCCAGTGGTCTTCCTCATAGCTTTGGTGGCCCTTTAGGCCCTAATCTGAGGTCTTCTTCCCAACTACTATGTTAAATCATGGAAGAATTTACCCTCAATATTCAGCCTGCCCCTTACCTCACCCCAGTCTGTTGCCTCTCACTGGTCAGGACCTCTTTATTTCTTCTTTTGTCCCCCTCACCCTGCCCCTTTTTCTAGGCCAATTTCATTGTTGTCTTTTAATAACTTCCAAGTCATAGTCACATCTTTATTAATTTCCTATTAGTGCTGTAACAAATGACTACAAACTTAGTGGCTTAAAACAACACAAATTTCTCTTATTGTTCTACAGTTCAGAAGTCCCAAATCAGTTTCACTCAGCAAAATCAAGCTGTTGATAGGGCTGCTTCCTTTTGGAGGCTCTGGAAGGTGAACCTGTTTCTTGACTTTTTCAGCTTCTGGTAGCCACCAGCATTCTTTGGCCTGTGGCCCCCTCCTCCATCTTCAAAGTGCATCACTCCAGTCTCTGCCATTACATCACCTTCTCCTGTGACTGACTCCCTTGCCTCCTTCTTATAAGGACCATTATGACTAATCCAGGATAATCTCCCCATCTCAAGATCCTGAGCTTAATAACATCTGCAAAGTCCCTTTTGCCATATAAGGTAACATTTACAGTTTCCAGGGATTAGGATGTGGACATATTTGGGGGCCGTGATTCAGCCTACTACACGTCTATCTTCAGTCAACTTGCTCAGTCAAAGAGGATCTCTCCTAAAAGAGAAGGAACATAGATTTCCACACTTCTTATTTGTAAGGATTGGCACAGTGACTCTTCCTTAAATAAGTTTTTGCTTGCTTGGTGTGTTTCAGGGAATCCATATGTGTGTGTCTGTGTGTGTGTGTTTCCTCTCTTCTGATTACAAAGTCAATAATTGTTTAATCTTAGCGTCTTTGGGTTTCCTGTTCAACTGTGGACCTTGAATAAATGTGACAAAATCACCACTCTGAACGTCACTTATTTCCAAAAGAGTTCACGTCTGTGAGGCTTTCTCGCCTGCCCCAGCCTGGTTTTCCTTTGACATAAGCTCAACTCCAGGCAAGGAGTGCCAGGAAGGGTCCATTGGCCTGAAGGAAGGCCCCTGGGTGCTGTGTTCAGTTGTAGAGTTCCCCCATCCCTCTTGCCTGTGCTTGGTCCACCAGAGGCTTCAGTGTGAGTCACTGACCTGATGACTTGCAATCAGCTACTGTTTGCAGCATATTAGAAAATAATCTTTCTTCTATCAGTATTAGAAAATAATCTTTCTCCTCTCGTATGCAGCCCTTGCCTGGGGAGCAGCCTGTAAGGTTCTCCCATCTTTGCTGGGCCTTGCCCTATGCTTACCCAGGTCAGGATGGGGATGGCTCCTGCTCAGTATATTTGGTCCCCAGGTTGCCCCAGGGAGACAGGAGGAGAAAAGAAGGACCAGTGAATAGGTGGGGTGTCTGAACATTGCCAGTTCCTCTAAAGAGCATTTTTCATCTACAGCAGATGAGAACTTGTAAAACGCATCCCATAAGACTATTATCACTTCCAACAAAGTTAGCAATAATACCATCCAGTAGACAATGTTGAAATTTCCCCCAAATGTTTCTAAAATAAAAAATTCTACTTTTATAGCTTTATTGAGATATATTTCACATACCAGAAAATTCGTCCATTTAAAGTGTACAGTTCAATGATTATTGTATATTCACAGAGTTGTTCAGTTTTCACCACAATGTACTTTTAGAACATTTTCAACAGCCTAAAAAGAAACCCCCTAACCATTAGCAGTCACTCCCAATTCCTGTCCCCCCTCAAGCCGCCTCCTCTCACTCAGCATAATGTCTTCAAGGTCCACCCATGTTGTAGCAAGGATCAGAACTTTATTCTTCTTATTGCCAAATAATAATCCATTGTATGAATAGACCACGTTTGTTTATCTGTTCGTCCACTTACGGACATTTGGGTTGTTTTAACTTTTTGGCTGTTATATATAATACTGCTATGAACCTTGTTATACAGGTTTTTATATTTTCATTTCTCTTGGGTCTATACCTAGAGGTGGGATTTCTGGGCCATATGATAATTCTACGTTTAACTTTTTGGGGAAATTCCATACTGTTTTCCAAAGTGGCTGTACCGTTTTACATACCCACCAGCGGTGGATGAGAGTTCCAATTTCTCCACATCCTTACCAACACTTGTTATTGTCTATCTTTTTTTTTTTTTGTCTTTTTTGTGACTGGTAAGGGGATCGCAACCTTTGGTGTGGTGTCACCCACACTGCGCTCAGCCAGTGAGCGCACCGGCCATTCCTATATAGGATCCGAACCCGCGGCAGGAGCGTCGCTGCGCTCCCAGCGCCGCACTCTCCCGAGTGCACCACGGGCTCGGCCCTATTGTCTGTCTTTTTGATTACAGCCATCCTAGTGGCTATCAGGTAGTATCTCGTGATTTTGATTTTCATTTCCCTAACAACTAATGGTGTTGGGCATCTTCTCATGTGTTTACTGGCCATTTGTGTGTCTGCTTTGGAGAAATATCTATTTGAAACTTCTGCTCATTTTTTAATTGGATTATTTGTCTTTTTTATTGTTGAATTGTAAGAATTCTTTAAATATTCTGGAATCAAGTCCTTATCAGATAAATGATTTGAAAATATTTCTCCCATTCTGTTGTAATATACTTTTGCACAGTTGCAATACATCTCTTTAAAAAAGCTGTCACCTGCCAACATACAAAAGTAACCAAATTGTCAGAATTCCTAAATTGCCAGTGAAACAGTGTGGCATTCCCAGGACTGGATAATGAGGATTGGGGTCATTGCAACACCATTTAGATCAGTTCCTGGCAGCCTTTCTGGTCACACCCTTACCGCGAGCTACTCACTACTTCAATCACATGTGGCTCAAATTTTTTTTAATGGAAAATGTTTAAAAATTCTTTTAGAAGAGTTCTGCTGTTTAGTCTCTTAAATTAACATTTTTTACTGTAATAAAGATATTTATTGGTCACTTAATAAGCAGCAGACATTACTAAGTACTTTTTAATTTTTACAACAACCCTGGAGATGCTTATTGTTCCCATTTTAGAGATGAGGAAACCATGCAAGTTCAGAGAGTTTACATAACTTGCTGGACGACAATGATTAGTAACTAGCTTGAATTAGAACTAGGTCTGATTTCAGAGTCAGTGTTTTTTGGTTTTTTTTTTTCTTTTTTTTTGTCTTTTTTCATGTCCGGCAATGGATCGCAACCCTCAGTGTCGTGCCCGTACCGGACCGGGACCGGCAACGGGATCGCAAACCTCGGTGCTGCGCCCGCACCTCGCTCAGCCAGTGAGCGGGAACTGGTCTGTATGTGGGATCCGAACCCTCAGCAGGAGCGCCACTGCGCTCCCAAGCGGCGCACTGTAGCAGTGCGCCACCAGGCCGGCCCCCAGAGTCAGTGTTTTTAATCAACCTCTATGTTGCCCTTCAGAGACACAGGGATCTGGGAATTTGGGAATCAGAAGTCTAGGGTGGTGGTTCTGCTGAAGCCCAGAAGTATGAAGGGATGTAAATGAGAAAGACGA